ATATGTATGTATTTTTTAATAAAAGATGATATGTATGTCTGTCTGTACATCCATATCTCTCTTCAGAGATTTAAACTTTGTGCCCTTATTTTTTAAAGCAAATAATAACTCAAAATTACTGTTTTCTTTTATCTTCAATAAAAATAATGTTTTAAAGTAGTCATTATTACTTATATATGTTTTGTCCTTTAAACATAATTTAGATTTCATTGTTTTTAAAATTTAAAATTTGGAAAATTCGTCCACTTTATCATTAATTATATAAGGCAAATGTTTATTTGTATAGTCTATTCTCTTGATTTTTTTATGTTTGTATGTGTCAAGCTTTAATGATTTGGATTCTATTTTTTTTTAAATTTTGTGTATGGGAACTTCATCTATTTCATTTTCACTAATTTTTTCAATACTAAGATTTATATCATTATTTTCACCATGTGATCTTATGGGTTTATTTCTATTTTCATCATTTTTATCTTTAGATACTGAAATTATTTCAAATGATATTATGTCAACAAAAATTTCCTTTAATTTATAAGTATTAATTATATGTTTATCAATATTTTTATTTATAAGATTTATATTATTACTTTTATAAAATCATTTTAGCCTTTTCAGCAAAACATCTGGAGATTCAAACTCATCATCTGTCGATATGGCCCTAACTAAGTTAAAGATGTTATCAGGTAAATTAATAGTTAATAGCTTAGCCTCACATCTACTGTTGAGCTTACTATCTTTAAAAAAAATCTCAGCTTTAGCAATATAAGAATGCATGTCGCCGCTATACTCCGGAAAAGATAATATCATAATATTTGTTTATTTTTTACAATATCTTTATTTTATAAATATTTTAGAGATTTTATAATTAAAAATTTTAATTATTTTTCCCTTTTTCAAATTAATCATTTCTTACGTGTTTTTAGAATGAAATAGAACTTTTTTTTTTATCTAGTTGTCTATGTTCCAGTAGCTAAAATCATATTGTCTGTGGATTTAGAATATTTTGTAAGTCATCATAGCCCAATTTAATTAGTTCGTCTAGTTTGATATCTAGTTTAACAATTCTCCTCATTATTGATTTATCCATTTGATCTAAATTATATTTTGTAGAAGAAAAAAAATTTAAAAGATTTTAAAATTATAAATTCCGCAGCCACCATGTTAAGGTTGGCAGGAAGTTAGACAAGATTTAACAAAAAGATTTAAAACTTTTATTAAATAAATATATTATAAAAATATTTTTTCTGGAACAATAAATTTCTAAGCTTATATAGTTTACAAAATCTATCAAGTAATTTATATCGAATTATTGAGTTAATTTTATAAAACGAGTCCGCGAGGTTAAAGTAAGTTTAATATAAAGAATTAAAAAAAATCAATCTTTTAGTTAATAGATAGCGATCAATTAGGACATCACAACACAAAGAGTGACTGGTGAAAAAAAATTGTGTAAACATACTATCATTGTTTTAATGTTTTTTAGATAATTTGGATATTTTATTATTTTGATATTATTGTGGTTGTAAAAATATGGAATAAAGTTTACAAACACGACGTTTCCGTGCAGTCAGAGGGGGGGGGGGTGCAAGTTTGGCAGCCACTTTGGGCCACCAAAATTAGATAATTTTAGGGGCATCCAAACTTTTAAAAATATGATTTTTTTTGTATATACCACATACAAGGTATTATTCTTTTTTTTGTAAAAAATTCATGTATGAATTTAGAAAAAAGGTTTAATATGTTTTGCCAAAATTATAACAAAAAATTTGATTATTTTAGTAAAATAAAGTTATTATTTTTTAGTTAAGATATTTGAGTTTTTCATTGAAACTCTTTTTCTTTTATATTTATAAATAATTTTTAATTAGCAAAAAACAAGGTAATGGGTAAGGAAATAATTAAATATATATTTAAAAAAACGATTTCTATTAAATGATTATTTTGAAATATTTGTTTTCTTGCAAGGTTACGTTTTTCTAGTTGTAGGATTAACAACTACGACTAATTATTAGCTATTTTAATATAATTAACGACTACGACTAATTATTAGCTATTTTAATATAAGTCGTTTTATTATTTTTTTAAAATTGTCAATATTTATTAAATGATTAATTCGAATGTTACATTCTTTTTTTATAAAATATACAATAAATAACATTCAATATAATTTATTACAGTAAAGAGGGGGGAGGAGATTTTATTTGCTTAATGGCATTTACATTAACATTTCGAAGATATTTTTGTATTTGTCTCCCCCTTAGAAAGTGCATGGCCTTATAGTTTAGTTGTGTATAAATAGATAGAAAAATAAAGCAATAAATAAAATTTTAGCCAATTTTACCCCTTGAAATTAATCAATTTGTATAAATTTATCAGCTTACTTAATTGGCATATTTATTATTTGATCAGCTGATTTTATTAATTTAAAAAAGAGGTATAGTTTAAATCTACTTCTAAGATTAGGACATAATGGATCTAAACTTAAATTTGAAACAATCCCTAAGGCTAAATAAAAACAAAAAATCTATAAAGAAATTACTAAAAATTAAATCGAACTACCTAAACCTCTCAGAATTTTTTTATTTTTTAAATTTTTTTTTATTTCTGGATTTCAAGTAATTTAATCTCTTTATTTCTCAATTTACCTCCTGACTTTGTCTTTCACCTTTTCTTGAATTACTTGCTTCACTGACATTAGCTTTTATTTATCTTATTGACTTAATGTACTAATTTAAATCAGTCCGTCCCATATTTTTAATTACATACATTACATATACAATGTCTTAGGTGTTGTTGTACATCTATACTTTTCCCATTATATGAGTTAAGATATATTAATGGCATTTGAGAAATAGTTTGTGATTTGCGTTTCTTATGTGGGCTAGAATTAATCTTTGGCTCTTTTTAACTTAGTTTTTGGGTATATTTTGTTTTTTTCCATAGTTTTTGAGTTCGGAATGTTTCTGGGGTAGAAGGTATCCTCTTTTGTTTATGTATTTGTTTATAGTCATCTATTTATTTTATTTTATTTTTTTTTCTTTCCCAGTTTCTTTGGTCTCTCTAACATGTCCGCCCCCTCCATAGACTAATATAGGAATTGTGGATGTGCCCTCAGTCCAGAAAATACCGATTTCTCTCTTATCTTCCATATTTTTATATACGATTAAAAGTTTCCACTCGCCTTTGTATTCTTATTTTTTTTCTTCTTTGCAACTACTTTTATTATTAAGTATGTTTCCTAAGTACATTGTGACTACATTTACCCTGTTCTAACTATAAGTTTTTGAAGTGGTTACATGTTTTTCTTGGGAAAAATAAGGAGGAAAACTGTTTATTTTTATTCATCATTATTTTTCTTTATTATTGCTAGTTAACTAGATTTAACGTCTTTAACTTCTTTTTTTCAAAACATTACATTTTATTGGAGTCTACATTTAATACATTGGTCGTTCCCAGTGTTTCTCTTTTGTTTTTATTTTTATGTTTTTATTTAGGAGTGGCAAGAGTTTAGCCTTGTTTTACTCCTTTTTACCTTGGAGGTAGGGGATATTCTTCGTCATTGATTTCGAAGCAACCAAACATGTATTAGTGGTTTTCTGGATCTGGAAGATGTTGGGGGTTTCCCTTTTCTGACAACGAAGCTGCATGGTTAACATTATCAATAGCTCTGCTATAATTTACAAATGTAAAGTAGAAGGTGGTTTGTACTTACTTTTTCTGCATGATTATTTTTATGAATTAATTTTTGGCTCCAGTATATTCTTTTCTTGACCTGTATATACTTATGTATTTTTTTTGGGGGGAGGGGGGGGGGGAAATTCGGTGTAGGTGATATGCTTGTGGTTTTTTGAGTGAACCAAAATTTTTTTCCCATGCTACAGGATGTGATGGCTATAGCTCAGTAACCCTTTAATTTCTGTGGTCTTAGTTTTTTGGGTAGTTACTTAGGTAAGATTTGTTCCATCCCACTGCAGTAGTTTCGCTCTCCCATATTTTATTGAAAGAGGGCATATAGGTAGCGAGATATTGTTATAGGTGCTATTTTTTGTTTTTCTGCTGTGATATTATCTAGCCCCGGAGCTTTGTTTTCCCTTAGTCTTTGACCACTTGTTATTCATTTATAGAGAAACCAGTCGACAGGGGGGGGGGGGGGGTTGGCGAGGTTTGTAATTTTTGTTGGTAGAGTCTTTCCGTGAGTGATAGACTATCATATAACAATCAAGCCATAATGCCTTTTGATAATCCTGGCCAACAATTACTTTTCTATTTCCTAAAACTTACGGAGCTGGTTCCTATTTCTGCGTCAGTTCCTTTATCTCATATCTTTATCAATATCGACCTTTTTCGCTATATAATCTATCTACTCCATCGAGTATTTTGTTTCTCAGGAAAAAGAAAAAAAAACCTTTGTTGTGTGGTGTTCGTTGCTGGATAGTCATAAACCTATTACTGACTAGTTTTTGCCTATTCACTGGAATTTTCACCTATTTAAACAATTTGCGGTAAACCCATTAGCTTTTTCTTATTTTCATGAATAAATTCTAATCTCAATTATTGATAGTAATTATCAAGGCTTACATTAGATGTTAAACTTAAAATTAGCCACCACCCACCCTTAAAGTAATTAAATTATTTTTGCAGTTCTTGGGTATAGGCTTTTGTTTTGCCCATTTCTTTTTGTTTATTAGCCTATAGACGTTTAAGCAACAGTTCTCGGACTGTTGCGCGTACAAGTACATGCGGCTTGCCCACAAACGTGTGAAGGGCTCCTCATTTATCTCCCCTAAATTAACTATCCAGTTTGATGGATTTTTGAGGAAAACCTAGCTTAGCTTTGTTGTATCCACAATCAGAGGGCGAAAACGCTTTTATCACGTATCACGTACTTCTAAGATTATAATTTACCTTACAATCAGTTTATTTGTACATCAATTGTTAAGTTTCACACCGACGTTTAGTTTCAGGCTTATTAAATTCAAATGAAAAATAAATTCATTAATAATGTCTCAAAATTGGCTCAAAGATGTAAACAATTTAACGAATGCTTATTTAGTTATGATAACTATTATATATATATATTAATATTGTTGTGTGAAATGATCCTAAATGTATTTATCATAAAATTTATACCATGTAAATATGCCTTATTTTAGACAATTACTATATATATTTATTAGATACTGAAATTGATTGGGAAACATATATGAAACACATATCCATATATAAAAAAGGAATTTATAATTATACTAAACTTGAAGGCCCAACTGGACCTTGTGTGTATGTTTAAACTAAAATAGTTTTAATAATACAAATAATTTAGATATCCTGCAGGATTTGTTTATATATATTCAACTATGTATTCTATCACTAATAAAGGAAAAAACCTTAAAATGGCTCAATATATTTTTTCGATGATTTATATATTCAACTTAATGTTAGTGTTAAATATTTACAGAAAATCAAAAAGGGTAATTAATTATATATATTTATATATAAAAAGTAAATAGGTTCCAATATATTTTTTGATACTGATCTCAATAACTTCTTATCGTGTTCATTCTATATATGTATTAAGAATGTTTAATGACACTTTATCAATATTACTTTTACATATTGGATTAAATTTCTTGTTATATCAAAGATATACTTTATCATCCATATTCTTGAGGTATAGTAAATATGTAATCATATCAGTTTGCCTTGGTTATTAAATATTTTACAATACATTGCACCTGATTAAGATATGATTATATTAATCTAATTACTATTCTATTCTTAATATTGCAATTTCTTAAAAATCCTAATCAATAATTTTTTTACAATTATTTAAATTTAGTTTAGCCCTTTCTGTTAAGATGAACATTTTATTATATTTTCCTGCATATGGCATAATATTGGTCCTATCCAAGGGGATAGAATATGGAATTTTACAAGCTTTCCTTATGTTATTTATTCAGGTTAGTATAATTTTAGGTAATTATCACATTGTACTTAGTGTATTCTTCCTTCTATTATATATTTTTTTTTATTTATCAAAAATTAAGTTCCTAATTAACAAAAAATGCATTTTGACACATTAACATAAGAATCAGAGTTGGCAGATTGAAATTTTTTAATTGTGGTAGAAATTTTTATAATATATTTTTTTTATTGAAGGCTGAACCCCTGATTTGTCTCACTGGTGATGGTGACATTCAATTTTGATTTATAATAACATTTTGTGCTAGAGATCTGCAAATCATGGCCTGACCCAAACAGATTTTGAGCCAGGCTGGGTCTATTTTTGAAAAATAATTTTGGTTCGAGTTGGATCGGGCCTAATATATTTTAAAATATTTTGGGCTAAGTCAGGTTGAAAATTTTAAATATGATATCATTACATTTTATCAGATAAATTTATATATTTTAAAATTATTGCAAGAAAAAAGGCATGAATATTTTCCATTTGTAGAATATTTTTTTTCAATAAATAAGATTTTATTTTTTCTATATTTAAATAAATTAGGGCTGAGCTGACAAATAATTTTATTTTTGTTTTGGGTTAGCTTTTTAAAATCAAGCTGGTAATTGGGCCATGCTGGACTTGAAAAATTATGCCCAATGCAGAGCACTATTTTATACCTTATACAAACTTGAATAAGTTATATTAATTAAAAATTTGTTTATTCATTCTTCTTAATAGAAATAAATTCAATAATGTTGTATACCCCAAGTTTTTAAAGTTTATAAAAACAGTCGAGTAGGAAACAATATAATACAAATTAATCACAGATTTATTTTTCAATTATTAATAAAATTTCAAAAATTTAAAATGTCTCTTAATAAGCAAGACAATAATTTATACAAATTATAATAAAATATTTATAAATTCTTCAAAAGTGGTAACTTTTGTGATTAATTTGTGGAAATTTCATAAATATGTTAAAATTTAAATTTTTTTTAGATGTCTATTAACCATTGTGGTAGACCTGACAACCTCGATTAGGATTTAGAAATTGAATTTTTTTAAAAATAGCAGAGATTAATTAATATTAGAATTAAGAAATGATTCATTAATGTTCATTTTTCTTTTTTGTTCAAACCTAACATATTTATCCACTATGACAAATCTTAACTTCTTTTTCTGCTTGATAAATACCTATATAATATCTTATACAAATGGTATTTTAAAACCCTATTACCATTAACATTCCACTGATTAGTTCATATTAGGAATTAACCAATTAAAAATCTTATTTTATAGAAGAAATGCACCTTAATATTGGATTGGCCGAATCATTTGTATTTTTAAAAATATTTTTGATTTTTAGTTTATTCCATTATTTATAGACATTTTTCCCATAGTCATGTTATTGAATATCGGATTGGCTGATATTGATAATCAATTATAGGTAAAATCAGATCGACCTCTAAAAACGGTATCAGTACTCATCTATTACATTGGTTAGAATTTTTTAATCTATTCTAGCATAAAATCCACTTCAATAAAATCCACTTCAATAAAATATTTATCTTCATACAGGGCAATTGAATGACATTTATATTACCATTTAGGCAACGAGACTACCTTTTTAAGAAAAAAAGAAAAATATACCAATAGATGCAGGGGATATAATGCATCAAGTTTTTTTTAAGGTTATCCCATTTAAATTATTTAAGAGATATTACAGTCCTTAGATTGTTATGAGTCTGAATATGCATATAATTTAAATACAAATATTTGATAGAAAGAGATATTATCAAATATATAAGATTATTAAGAATAAATATGCCAGATAGGTTGAGTTGAATGAGGCCTCGTTTATAATAACCGCAATATCGCTCAAGCGATGCATAATTTATCGCTAAACCATAACATAGATGGATAATTTAGCATTGTGTATTTTGTTTATTACGCATCGTTTGAGCGAAATCGCGATATTTCACGTTTATTATAAACGAGGCATAAAGTTTTGTTCTGTTTATCAGCTTATTTTTAAAATCCTTCCTATAACTTGCCTAGTTCCTACTATAGTAAGCGCGAAATACCTCCACACCGCTCAAGATGCATAACTTATAAAATATAAAATGAATTACGCATGGTTTGAGCTACATAATGGGACCATGACATGTCGCTCAAGCGGTGCCTAATTTACAAAATACAGGATGTTAACACAATAAATTACGCATCGCTTAGGCGATATTGCAATATTTCGCGCTTAACTATAAACGAGGCCTTACGAAAATACATATCCAACATGTTATAGCAATTGAAAAATTGAGCTTTTGAAAATTCATTACATAAAAGAAATTAATTAAATGAATACATAGTTATAGATAGATTATATAGCTCTTATCTTAAAATATGGTAATTATTCGAATTTAATACAACTAGTAATCAGACGATAAAATTTTTAATGTGCAAATGTTCGAAATATACAAATTTATGGAAACAATAATTTGTAACGCTCGATTTTTAACTTGCTATCTTTTAACATTATCGACTCAAACGCTAAAAGATCTATATTGTCCCTTCCTCTTTTTTATGAATCGTTGGCATATTATTGTAATTTCATCTTTTTCCCTATATAACATACATTTCTCATTTTTTAAATTTTTATTTACTTTCTAGTTTAATGGTCTTTTATTTATGTGGCTGTAAATCAAATATTTAAAGTATCGATAATTGTAAAAGTTAATTTATTTTCTTGTTGAAATAATATTTAAATGTTTTTTATATACAATTAACTTTTACCGAAAGTATATATATTGATAAATTGTAATAAAAATTATTATTTTACCACCACTTAAATAAATATCCTTAATTCTTGTCTAACTTTAATCCTAAAATACCTAAGGTTTTGCCTTAGATTAAGGCATCATTATATTAAACGCGTTTTGGTTTCGGTATTTAACGCTATCGAAATCACGACTGATTCTTCACAGCGATAATTTTGAAATAAACGTCACAACATGTTTTTCAAATTTTATCATAGCGTTTGTTTTAATCGTTTCGCTCCATATTTATAACTATTTATTGGCTTGATTTTGTAAATAACGCAGCGTTAAATATCGCATCGCTTGATCAACATTCGTTCGGCGTTAAATTTATTTTTTTTAAGGAATTTTTAGGTTATAAATAGATATGTTTTTTTTAGCGTTTACATTTTTTCTTGGACTCGGACCTCAGCAAAATTTTAAATTGTTTTGTTTTTCCTAATACCTTTCTAAATTTTTTTTTTAAAGAAAAACACCAAAAAAGTTTATTTGATTCCAGCACTTATATTTTTCCCCTTTACTTACTTTTTTTTCAATCCAATATTTAAAGACTGAGTAATATAAGTGCTATAGCCATTTTTTTGCCAATTGCATTTTTTCGATAAATTACTTTATTTACATAATAACAATGTGATCCTATATTTAAGTTAAAAAAATACAAAAGATTTTTTTTTAAAATGCATATAAAATTTTTTTTAAGTAATATAGCTGACGCTTCTGACGATTTCTTTTAATTTTTTTATCCGGTTTCGAATTCAGACATTTGAAAAAAAATACAATCGGTCAGTAAAAAAAATATTTTTAATATGGAGGCTAAAATAAATCTGATTTTCTCTAATATTATATATACGTACATTATTTTAAAGTATTGTAATCATAAACACACTTCAGGTCATTCTGGGATTATCTTTTTTACTGGAATCGGCTCCAGCTTACCTTAATAGGGCCTTCCAACTCGGACGACAGTTTGATTACAAATGGACCGTCAATTGGAGATTCGTATCACCCGTCTTATTTTCCTCCCGCGGTTTTCACGTCGCTTTATTAGCACTCCACCTAACGTTTTTAACCTATTTCATTTGCGGGGTATGGATTAGGTGAGCCCATAAAGATAATAAAAAATCAAATATCATATGCTGATGATAAATTTCGAGGTTGCTTTTTAAAATGTTGAATGAACGATAGGTAATTTAGCGAACAGTACTTAATTAAAATAATAGTATCATGATGAAGAATGATATTATATTCCCTTACCCTGCATTCACAGTTAGCGCGAATTCGCGGCGAATTATAAAAAATATGCTGCGAAATATACTAAATAGACTATATTTTTTTATACTTCCCCGCGAATTCACATAACTTTGAAGGCATGGTTATTACGCCAAAAAATATATACCTAATTTATTAACTTATTCGATTATTTCCTTGGCGTGTAATTGACTTCCTTGGAAAATCATTCATGTACAAAAATGGCAGGTATTTCGTTGGCGTTATTATATTCTCTTATCCCCATTTATCGAAATTGAGTCAAAATATATATTTCAACCATTTCTATTTAAAAAAATAACTCTCTAAAGTTAATTATCTCATAATAACTTTTAAGAATGGTCAAATGTTTACTAAGCGAATTATTGTCTGATTTTATCATTTAAAATATATTATAAATTAAATTTTTATTAAATTTTAGAAAATGTAACTTATCTATCTGGTCAATGCTATATCGCCGCGTCTCTTCTATCAAAATGGATGCTAACGGTAAAGTCTTAATAATTTTTATTATCCTATTCTTAAAATTAGAGACCTGCAGAGGTACCATTTCCCGGCCAAGTTTTATTTAAGGCCTGATTCGAATTTTTTTAAAATATTCTGCCTAAAATATATCCTGTATTTTGAAAAAATATTATCTTTTGAACAACACCTTATTACTTAATGTTTGTTCTTAATTCTGATTAAAGCATTATATTCAAAAAAAGCAGCTAGGACATATTTTTTTTGTTTTTTTTAAATCAAAAGTTAGACACGAGGTGGTGATATATTTAAAATACGCTTAAAGATTCATTTTTATTTTTAGTCTAAAAATTACAGTGTATTTAGATAGCTTATTTTAAGAAAAAAAAATACTAAATAGGGCGCAGAACCTTTTAATTGAGGTAAATATGGGTAGAATATTTAAAAAAAAATTTTTTTGGAAAGAAAGATTTGAATCTTTATGACTTATTTTAATTTTGATGGTAAATTAATTTAACTCCAAAAAATAATAGTCATAAACTTTCAATTTCTTTTATTTTTAATTTCAAAATTATAATTATATAGATATTTCAAATGTTTGATAACGATTTAGATATAATGTCCTGCATGTTTATAAGCAATTTCCTGGGAGTAATGTTCGCTCGATCGTTGCATTACCAATTTTACGTGTGGTACTATTACTCCATACCTTTTTTGCTATGGACAGCCTACCCGCCTGGTCATCCCTTTTACAAATTATTCGGTAGAACCAATTTTAAGTGAGAGAACATACATTTTATTTTTATTGATAGTAATTATTTGATGCCTTTTAAAACAAAATAGTTCACACATTATGTATCACATCCAATAGCAACTAAAACGACTATGCTTCAAATTATTATTATATGAATGAATGCAATTTGTTTAGTATAACCTTGAAACTAAATCCATTGTTACGAAAATGCATTACATAAAATTAGATTTCGAAATGAACCCCTCCCCCTCAATGATTTGTTAGAGTAAACCTTATTTGGAATTGATTTTTAGAACCAGAAAAAATGACTAAATTTGTCGTGAAATTTATTTAAATATTTTATCGCACACCATAGATTTGAATATACAAAAAAAAATTATTTGATAAATAAGAAAATAAAAGTTACCCTATAAGAAAAAAAAAAATCTTGACTACGGAAAAAAATTGTCTCATTACAAAAATATAGGCAAATATGAGCTGAATTTATTTGTGGAACTTTCTTTTCATATTCCCTTTTTTCCTTCATTCCTTTCCCTCATTCTTTTCTTAAGAAAGAAAGTGAGAAAAGCGATTAATGATTACATTTTTCATAAATTTCTTTATATCAGATTATTAATATGGGGCCTGATCGAATATTGCTGGAATGTTTACCCTTCCACCGTTGTTAGCAGCCTGACTCTTAACGCTTGTCATTGTGTTATATTAATCGGACTTTTATATCCCTTGTTAAACTTGAAAAAAGAGAAAACTAAAATAGCCAAATTGAATTAATACATTTTTTATAAATAATCGTGATTATAATTGATTGTTAATAATTTTTTCTTAATTATAGATGTTTATGGCGGGAATTTTTTTTTAAATATTACTTATTTAATTACTTTTTAAAAATTTGTTATACAATAAAAAAGGTTGTTAAAATTTCTAAATTTATGCTAATTAGTTATCACGTGATGATCATCTCCTAGATATCAAGATAACCAAGTCTATTTTACTAAAACCTATTAATTTCCTACGAATTATTTAGGATAAATCAATCAAAATCTAGGAAATAATGAATGCTACCTGCTGTACCATTTGCGTGGCCCGGCCTGGATTTTTTAAAAATAGATTATATTATTTTTAATTTTTATGGCTAATAATGACGATTTAAAATATATTTTTTAAAAATAGGCCAAAAAAATTTTTTTAGACCCGGCCCAGCACGGTATTTAAAAAAAAAAGAATTTTAGGCCCGGCCCGGGTAAATAAAAATTAAAGCCGGGCCGGGCCTGCAGGTGCTATAAACCAAATGATTACTCGTAAAGATGATGTCCATAATAATTATTTTCTTAATGATATATAATACTAAGATTTCATAATAATATGGAAACATATTTCGGTAATCGTTTTGTGGCCCTTATGATATTAAATTAATATTTATTGAAGACTTCTATTTTTATTAAATAAAAAATGATAGATAACATTATACCTTTAATCTATTTTGTAATATACATTATAGTTAATTGTTAAATTTTATTATAATGATATTATATGTTGTGTTAAAATTTTATTTTGTTATAATAAACTCCTATAAAATTATATTGTTAAAATTAAGAGTTAAAATCTAAGTATTTTTGTCCCATTTAATTTTTTGTTAATATGTAAATCCGGGACTTCGTCATTAATGTTGAAGGCATGTAGTTTAATTTGTATTGAATTTTTCTGCAAATTTTGATTTGATTGGAGGTAGTGTTGTTAAACTGCTCGATTTGAACCGATTTTTAAAAACGGCTAACTCAATATTATATCCAGAAAAATATAACGCAAGCCTGAAGCTTTTGCTCAAAGATGGCACAAAGGTTTAGATATCTATTGATCAAATCTCGAGGCTTAGACAATATTTTTCTGGCTAAAATATCGAATTAGCCGTTTTTGAAAATCGAGCCGTTTAGCAACACTAGTTGAGGGAGGGAAGGGGGCAAATCACCATTTACTTAGGGGAATGTAGAAGTCCCTGACTTAGATTATTAAAATGCAGTTTATAAATATTAATTCCATTTTATGTGGGATAATATTGATTTAATTTAAATAATTTTTTAATATTGTTAACATTAAATTTTATTGTAATTTATATACTCAGAATGCTTAAATTATCATAAACGGGCTAATATAAAATATTGATAAGATTATGATGGAATAATTTTTAGTCAATTCAATATTGTTAAATTAAAAATAGTTTATTCTTAAATTTCTTAGGAAAACAGATGTGATAAAATAAATACACGTTTCATTAATAAATTTGCATCAAGAGTTATTTTCTTTTTAGCGCATATTTGGATAATTATTTCTGATTTAATCAAATAATTCAATTTTTTTTATTTATAAAATAATCGTGATGTAGAATCTAGTTCCTTTTTTAATATCTCAAAGGAACACAATTGACTATTGAGATATTTTTCATTATAAAATATTTTTTTAGAGTTAAATCATTATATTTATTTTAAAAAATAATTATGGTGCTTGGTAACGTATCAAGGTCAATTCAGCGAAACTTTTATCTCAAATGTCGTTTATCGCGAAAAGTTTTGGTAAAATCGCGAAACCAATTCTGCGAATTTATCTCCGCTATACATTTATAGCGAAGACAATTTCGCGAAGCCATTGTCGCGAATTTATTTCCACAAAACCTTAATTGCGAATTTATTAGAGCGAATACATTTTAGCGAAATATTTTACGCGAACATTTTACAGCAAATTTTTTATCGCGAATATGTTTGCGCGAAGTCATTATCGCGAGCGCATTACCGCGAAACAATAAATATATTGTGAATGCATTTATTTAAAAAAAACAACAGGTTTCATGCTACAAGGGTGGCATAGAATTTCGGAGGTTGGGCGTGATTAAACAAAAATACGTGGGTGTTATTGCAATTTAATAAAATAAGGCTGTAAATACTTTCATATCGTTTTAAACAAGTTCAAACGGTTATAAAAATTATAAATATGGCTATATCACATATTTTTTTTAAAATAAATATTTATTATTTGATGTTTTTTAATAAAAAATGATATGCTACTATTGTAATATTATTTTTGTTACAATTTATTAGTGATTTTCACGCCCAAGATTTTAAGTAAAAAATATTTCTTGAAGTTCAAAAAGATTTTTGAACATACTATGATAAAAATTTTAAATCTTCTTTGTAAATATATCTTTTTTAAGGAATTCTTTTGTGAAATTTATTATAAATATACAATTTTTAGGTGAAATCTTTTATAGTTTTTTTTATCATTTTTGTAAAATTATCTATTTCTTAAGTATATTAAAAGAGGTGGCTAAATAATATTTTTTTAAATATTTATATTTAACTTATTTATGTTATTTTATGATATTTTTAAGAATAATATAGATTGTAAACTTGCTAAATTAAAATTTCATGAAGATCTACCATTAAAAAGTGACAATTGTCATAATCGTTGTTTATAAAGTTTATTAAATTTTTTGTTGTAAATGGGTAAAAATATAGATTGTAAACTTGCTAAATTAAAATTTCATGAAGATCTACCATTGAAAATTATCCCTGTCATTATTGTTAAAATAGGTAGATGGGATGAAAATCCGATAAATGGGGTTATTAAGAGAAGGGATCGTTATTTTTAAAGTTTTTTGATTTTTCTAAAATGCGTTAAAATAAGTATTGTTAGTATGTTTAAATAAAACTTCAGTGAAGATGTACCCTAGATAAGTGACAATTATCATAATCATTATTTTCAAACTTTTTTAACGTAAATGGGCAAAAATATAGATTGTAAACATGTTAAATTAAAATTTCATGAAGATGTACCATAGAAAAGTGACAATTATCATAATCGTTATTTTATAACTTTTTTGAATTTTTTTGACGTAAATGGGCTAAAATAAGTATTGCTAACATGTTTAAATAAAATTTCAGTGAAGATGTACCATTGAATTCTTTTGTTGTAAATGGGTAAAAGTATAGATTATAAACATGCTAAATTAAAATTTCATGAAGATGTACCATTGAAAAGTGACAATTGTCATAATCGTTATTTTTAAAGTTTTTTGAATTTTTTGACCAAAATGGGTTAGAATAAATAATGCTAGCATGTTTATATAAAACTTCAGTGAAGATGTACCCTAGATAAGTGACAATTATCATAATCATTATTTTTAAACATTTTTTGACTTAAATGAGCCAAAATAAGTATTGATAACATATTTAAATAAAACTTCAGTGAAGATGTACCCTAGATAAGTGTCAATTGTCAAAATCGTTATTTTTAAAATTTTTTGTATTTTTTTACCGAAAATGGGTAAAAATATAGATTGTAAACATGTTAAATTAGATTTCATGAAGATGTACCATAAAAAAGTGACATTTGTCATAATCGTTATTTTATAACTTTTTTAAATTTTTTTGACGTAAATGGGCTAAAATAAGTATTGCTAACATGTTAAAATAAAATTTCAGTGAAAATGTACCTTAGATAAGTGACAATTGTCATAATCGTTATTTTTAAAGTATTTTTAATTTTTTTGACGCAAATGGGTAAAAATATAGATTGTAAACATGTTAAATTAAAATTTCATGAGGATGCACCATAGAAATGTGACAATTGTCATAATCGTTATTTTTAAATTATTTGAATTTTTTAGACAATGGGCAAAAATATAAATTGCCTACAAGTTAAAATAAAATTTCAGTGAAGATGTACCATAGATAAGTTACAATTGTCATAATCGTCGTTAATAAGGTTTTTTTGAATATTTTTGTTGCAAATGGGTTAAAATATAGATTGTAAACATGCTAAATTAAAATTTCATGAAGATATACCATTGAAAAGTGACAATTTTTATAATCGTTATTTTTAAAGTTCTTTGATGTAAATGGGCTAAAATATAAATTGTAATCCATTCTAACCATAATAAAATCTTAACATTAAATTTATAGGATGTTGATTGTATCATATTACTAAATAATATTCATATGGTTTTTAAGTTCTTTCTATAAAAATCCTACCCTGAATTCAGACTCAGCACTATTTTATCACGAGTATACAAAAATATTTGCTAACTGAATGCAAGGTTATACATTTTTATAATGTAGAATTAAAATTAATTAATTAAAGGAATAAGATTGTAAATCCATATCTTAAAAGTTTAGAATTTAACATAGGTTACAACTATCTTTAATAATCACTTTGCATATTTCTATCAAATTTTAAGCTGGATAAAAAAGGAACAACGATTATGAGAATGAAAATATCGATTTGTTTTTTTGTTTGGACTGAAATTTTATTTTAACATGTTAACAATTTATATTTTGTCCAATTGCGTCAAACAATTCAAAAACTTTAATAATAACGGTTATGACTATTGTCACTTATCTAGGGTACATCTTCACTGAAATATTATTTTAACATGTTAGCAATTTATATTTCAGCCCATTTGCTTCAAAAAAATTTAAAAACTTTTAAAAATAACGATTATGACAATTATCACTTTTATATGGTACATCTTCATGAAATTTTAATTTGACATTTTTACAATCTATATTTTTACCCTTTTGTATCATAAAATTTCAAAAAACTTTAAAAACAACGATTATGACAATTGTCACTTATCTATGGTACATCTTCATTGATATTTTATTTTAACATCTTAGAATTTTCTATTTTTGCCCATTTGCTTCAAAAAAATTCAAAAAACTTTAAAAATAACGATTATGACAATTGTCACTTATCTAGGGTTCATCTTCACTGAAGTTTTATTTAAACATGTTAGCAATTTATTTTTTACCCATTTGCGTCAAAAAAATTCAAAATCTTTTAAAATGATT